TTTCATTTATCCTAAATGTAATTTGTGAATATTTGTGTTATCACATTGAGAATGCCTGAAACAATTCAGCTGACACCTTTGATATGTCTGTAGGGACAAAATATCTTTCACTATGATAATTACAGTGGCATCTTCACATTAACAAAAACCCATAACTTTGTCAGATTAAGTAATTCCATTTAAAGTTTATATTATGCTTTTTAGTTCAAAGATATGTCCTGCATTTCTTAACTTTTTTTTTTTAGAGAGAGAATGGAGAGTTAGAGACAGAACAAACAAAGGTATGAGAGAGACACATCGATTGTTAGCCCCTGCACTAACTCAGACCACATCTGAACAGAGTCTGCATCCTAGGTACAAGCACTGGCTGAAATCAAACACACGGCCCTTCAGTCTGCAGGTCCACGTTCTAACCAGTGAGCTAAACTAGATAGGGCTGTCCCACATTCTTGTGTTATATGTGTCATATACCTTTATGATGGTGTAAGTAGGTCGTTTATGGGATCAAACTTTCAGACTCACCCTGGTTCATTTGGCTCAGAGGATAGAGCATCTGCCTACGGGGTGAAGGATTGAAGGATCCCAGGCTCATTCCTGTCAAGGGCACCTACCTGGATGGCAGGCTCCTCCCAGGCCCTGGATGGGGCGTGTGCAGGGGGCAACCAATCAATGTGTCTCTTTTTTTTTTTTTTTTACAGTTTTCATAAAGGTCTATTTCATTACTGATGGGTAGCGCATTTAACAGTTAAATACATTAAATAATGTATAGGTGACTGCAGGACTGCCGCATTGGTAACTAGATAACCAATTCAACTAGAAACCAGCTACCAAGTAACTGTCTACATACACATTTAAAACACAGCTCTTGTTTAGCTCATCCTGTTTTGATCACCTTCTTGGAGGGAAAGCCTGCTGCTGGTCACACTGGAAATATATTAAGGCCAAATCTTCTGATATCCATTCCAGAGGTTGCTTCAGCTGGATTAAGCCTCCAACTCCAGGGCAAGCCCCAGTTTGTGGCCACCAGCATTGATGCTCTTCCCATCTACCAGAGCAGACAGCGTAAGCTTCATACCAGGCCGCAGAGTCTGAGTGTAGCCCACTCCAATTAAACTAGAGTTGTTGACTTTTGCAGAAATGGAAGCAGTGGGATCCAACTGATATTTAGCTGCAATACCAAAGCGAGTGCAGTTGGTACCTGAAGTCCACGCAAGGTTTACTGAAGTGTCAAGATCTTCACATACTTTCTGATAAATTGAGCCTCCAAATTCTTTCC